GATAAATAAATCAATAATTAGGTGATATTATCATTATAAGCAACAATACAACATAATTAATAAGTACCTACTTACACAACCATAATAACATAATATAATATTATTCTCATATAATATATTTAAAAATCAAAGATTGTTTTTTGAACGAAAATGGATTTTTGTCAAAATTAAGGCTATTATTAACATTATTTAAATAATATAATACTAGACAATAATATGTTGGATTGTATGCATATTTCTTTTTAATTTTGAGTATCATCAATTCGATAGTTATTTAATTATTCAATTGTGTAAATTCGAATATACTGTGATTATTTAACAATCAATATGTGGTATAAATATACAAGATTATTACATTAGTGATATTACAATAGTATATTACATCTTAATCCGTACACCTTAGTAGTTCATATAAATTTATTTAGATAAAATCAGTATTATTATAGAAAAAAAAAAATGTTTTTATAATTGGGTATTAGCTCGTTTTATATGGCATTTCTTTTTTAACCCTATTTTTATTAATAATTACAATTTTTTTTTTAAATCCTCTTTACAATTGCATGTAATTATACAAATTTGTATGGTGTAGTTTTGCATTAGAAAAATGTCTAAACTAGTAATGATATATGGAGCAAGAGCCAATATATATATTTAATAGATTAAAAAAATTTTAATTTAAAACAAGCAAATCTTAATTTATTTATTTTATATTTGGTTTTACTTTACAATATATTATTATGATGCCGGTTTAAGATATTTATTGCCTGAAGTCTGGAACTTTGAGATAATTCATGTAGGTACTAATTTATAATATTTTGATTGTTTTCTGTAATTAAAACAGTATCTAAGTCCATTAACATTTAATATAATGGTAGATAGGTAAGTACTTAAAAAGATTTGGCGTCTATAATCTATATTAATGTCACTATGATTAATTATTTGGCATTGTGATTACCTACTTGTATGTAAAATTAGTTTTTAATTAAAATCGTATTTAATTTTGTAATCTTTAGAGACCACTTAACTATTTGATCAATCAATAAATTGTTAGGATGGATTATTTTATTGTTTCAAAATGTTTACATCATTTCCATTATTCAACGATCAAAATTAAAAGTTCTAAATCATGATTAGTAACACATCAAAGTGAAACATACAAACATTTCCACTTTGTTTTAAGATTTTTTTTTTATCTAAAATATGTATAAAAAAGACTTAATTATAACTTATAAAATATAATTGATAGTAGGTATTGTAAATATTTTTTTTTAAACGCATTTATATATTTATATAAATCTGTTTTAATTTCTATAAAATAGCGATTTCAATAAAAAATATTGTACCTTCGTAAAAAAATTCCTATTAAACTTCTATTATCCGTAGATAGTTAAACCCCAGTGATTATACCAAATTTTAGATAAGACTTAAGTAGTATATTATGTAATACACAATGCATTTTAGATGATAATATATTAAACCCAAAGGAATGTCATCACATACTTACACACATGTTCATTCGGATAGTGGTGGGATGTCATAGCCAGTTAACCTGAAATTTTTAGATTCAGTGCCGCAGACTATAGAATATTATTTAGGTATTTATTTTGAAAATTAATAATGATGATATTGATGATATTAATAATTAAATAATGTGAGGTACAGTCATTATATAATTAGTCATCTTGTTCTTTACAGATTTTTTCATCGGTTATACAATTTTATTATGAATTTTATTGATTACAAGTCTAAAAAAAGAACTATTGAATATTATACCTGCATTGTCATAATGATCTATATGAAAAATTATCTACTCGAAGTCGATTTGGCTACCTACTCTTCTATGAATTAAAAGTCAAATAATAATTACGTAAATTATACTGTTATGATTCAATAAGTGCTACAATTTTATATTACCCATTAAGCATCATATTTATTTACAGTTAAGGTCTACATAGTGTATTTGTTATATTTTACACAATTTATCTTAGGAGAACTTTATTTACTTATACAAATATTTTTTCATTATTTCTTATAATATTAAGTCCGATATATTCAATGTACATGCGAATTTCAAATATGCAATTATGATAAAGTTATATACAATTGTACTTAATATATCATATTATTATTAATTTATTTTAAATAATTTCATAATGCGTAGATTATCATGGCGTAATATAAATAATATAATATGTGCGATTTAAATCTTTAATTTTAAAAATTCTTTAGTATTTCAAATTTTTATTTATTATCGTTCACATAATATATTATTTATTTTTGTTTTAAATAAAATTATTTAATAATTAATACAATAAATAATGTTAATATTATAAGTAGGTTAATATCTGTCTTTTTTAATATAAAATATGTGAATATTAATGAGGCACAAACTAAGAAAAAGGAAAGAAAATTTATAATAAGCACTTTATTCTTACTAGTTGTCTAAATCTTTACCTTTTTACTTGAAAATACATTTAAACAAGAACTTTTGCAGGTCTCCTTAAAAAACAATAAATGTCATTCCAAAAATTCCAGCAAGTTAAAATTCTTTTTTATTTAAATCGTTTTTTATCAAACCTACTCATTGAACAAAGAATTTGTATAGATTGTAGATTTATTTCAATAAATAAAAAAAAAATTCAAATAGTGCGTTTTCAACTGATTTATAACAGCTTTACGATATGTTGTTTCAATTTATGGAAAACAGTGAAATACGTTAGGTAGTAATATGAATATTAGGATTTAGGAATACAAATTACAAAGAATAAAGAATAAAATAATATTCATTACCATTATTGCTTATGTATTTGTAAAATATATACGATAGATAACCGGTTTCGACCTTTTGTGCTGTACTGCTTATTATGCGCAATAGACATGCTACTACGCCAGTAGGTACACCGTATAGTCGCTAGAGCAGCGCGTGAATATTGACTACAGCAGAAAATTTGTATTTTTTTATTAAAAACATGCTTTTGTACTTCTAAAAGTACTAATAGTACTCAAACAATTAGGTTACGTTTAGTTAGTCATATAAACATAATTTTTGTACCGAAATAAACTTGAAAATTTGAACTAAAAATCTCAGAACACGTTTTTATACTAGAATTTGCCAATTTTACATCATTTATAACAAAAATTTAAAATATAAATAAAATTGGATTGATAATTTATCTAAAAAGCTATTCTTAAATTGTTAATCAACTTCTCATATTTATTTTAGTACTAAAACCATTTTTCTATGACTAACGAGCTCCGAGTGTTATTGGAAGTACAAAAATATGTTTTACGATAGATTTTTTCCAATGTGACAGTCTTATACAAAACGTTTGATGGATAAAATATACCTGTATTACGTAATAACGACTGGAATTTACTCGAGAAAATACAATATTTCAACATTATACCGTATTTGTGATACAGCTAGACAGCCTGAATACTATACGTCCATATGCGTATATTCCCTAACGCTCCTATAGCGGCCAAGCCCCTTGGGTGTTTGTCTGCTTACATTCACTTAACCTGTTTAATGCAATATAATATTCTGGTTATTATTACTATAATAATAGTATGACTTTTACAATTACTTCCTCAATATATAGTGAGTAATATCCGTCTCAAGCGTTTACTTTAAAATTTGCATAGGTATCTATACTTACTTTCAAATATATTCAAATATTAAACGTAGTTCAACGATCCAAGTATCCAACTATTAAAATATTCACAAATGTATTGGCCATCTGACATTGGTAATTTACGTCTAATCGAATTAGATATTTAAAAATAAAAAAATTAAAACTTGGCACCACTATGTCTACTGACATAAGTTTTATAATAGGTATTGTTGTAAATAATATGAAGCAAAATATAACAAACATTAAAACACTGTAATACTGTACAATAAATCATCTAATATTATTCATAATATTGAATTTAATAAGTGGAAAAAAATGAAAAGAAAATATTAAGAAAATAGAAAACTATTAAGTATAATAAAAACATGAATTACATAAGCAAATAAATAATTAGAAGGTCGGTAGAGAAGTTTAAAGTATAATAATAATAATTATAATAAACATAATTTTTATTTGAAAATATTGAACAAGATGGTTTGGAATCTAAAGTAATAAAAATTTAAAGTTATTGATTTTAAAATGAAATAAAAATAGCATCCCAAGGCGTGGGCCAAATAAAAATGTATTACGACGCTTTGAGCGTAAAATAATACGATGTCAGTATAGCTCAATGTATTGAAAGATTCCTGAAATTAAAAACATTGTTATAATTTTTAGAAATTCTTGAGAGGTCTAGAATATTTGGATAAATGAAATCTAAATTAAATAAAATGCAAAAAAATATTCTGAACAGTATTTGATTTTCATGTACCTATTATTAATCCAGATTTCAGATGAAACAGTTTCATAGTTACTATGAGAGGGAGCAATTTTCTAAAGTGGATCGAATAAGAGAGCGATAGAGGATTTCTAAAGGAATAGGATGCATGAATACACTGTAATTGCGTTTGATTAAGTTCAAATTACGGATAGTTTTATAATTAATTTTAAGCTTTGGTAATAATAAAATAAAAATGACTACACCAGTACCAGTAATGAGGCACTATGCGAACAGTGCAACGAAATAAGACACAATTGTCCGCTATACAAAGCGACGATATCCGATCTCGCCGCTGACGACTGTAAACAGTGTAACTTGGGGCGGAATGCATAATAATAAAATTTTTATGTTTCTATTTTATAAGCTGGCTGATCGGAATTCGATTGAACCAGCCGAACAAAAAACGGCGCTCTCGACGCCGAGCACCACACACAACTCTGTTCGCAGTCGGGCTGGGTTGGCGGGTCGTCAGACGACGTCTGTTGTTCGCCCCCGCCCCCGCCCCCGTTTAACACCCACCGATAGCGTTCGCCGACGGCCGGCAACCGTCGTGTCGCAGCGATCGTTGCTGCTGCCGCCGCCGCCACTATACAAAATACAGCTGCAGTTCACCCGGCGCATCGCCACATCGTCATCATTGAATCATTCCCCTCGCACCCGTCACGCTTGCCACAGTCTGTTGACGGTGTTGCTCGCTGAAGTTTACTATTCACTTCACACTTGTCACTCGTGAAACGGTCGTCGGACAGTGCGCATCAGCTGTGTGTTTCAGGTCTCGGCAGAACGATTTCGGCGACAAATAAAATATTACAATAATATTAATAACAATTAATTAACAACAGACGATATCGATCTCGCCGGTAAAAAGTCGGCAGGTCTCTCGCTCGTTGTAGTATCAAGTGTCTTTGTGACCCGCGTTTGTGCGTACTAACGTCATTCGCCCACACGTTTTCTCTGGTAATCGATTCTTCGGTCGAACGGTTCAGTACCTACCTGCCATATTTGAGGGAAAATTTGCGCACTCCAACATTTCCGCTACGATCAGACACGGATAATATTCCTTTACCCCGTCATCACACGGTAATTACACATCGCTATTAAACGTCGTTTAAGACGGTAAAATAATTCCGTATTGCTTGCATCAATAAACAATATTTTCCATTTAAAGTATTTTTATAGATGTAATAATATGATTGTGTTTTTGATTTTTTACTACCCAGACTACAGAGCGCAGTTAACGTTCCGAACACTTTTTATTCCTGTCTCGAGCGCAGACGTTCGCCACCGACAACTTCTTATTTCGTCTTGGAGGTAATTTAAAATTTTTTTTTTAATTGATAATTGGTTTTATACATTATCAACTGTCGTCGATATACATTAGTAGGTATATACGTCGTTAATAAACACCTTATCTGTAATCTGTATAGTTATTAACATATTAAACCTTAAATCTTTTTACCTATGTATTTCAATTTGTATGTACTTACCTACAATCATTATTTTTTAATATTTGTTTACGATTTTTATCTTAAATTAACGATTACCATAACCTTTAGACCGATTTATGCAGGTATTTAACTAAAACTAATCCTTTGTCATAGGTTTTACTTATACATTTTTATGCAGTGGTCTGAGTTTTTTTTTAAGGTGGGATGAGCTATAATTACATTTTTACGCATTTATTTCTATAAATAAAATTTCAAAGGATCTTTAATTTCGAGTACGATTTTACTTAAAACTAAATTGACTTTTGCCAAATTTGCCAACAAAAATATTATGTTATTTAACAAGTACGTTTTTCTAACCAATAGATTCCTTCATTGGCTTTATTATTAATAGCGGCTATACTGATGTCGGATTTTCCTCATCAGCAATTGGTAACAACTGCTGACTTTCACTTAAAAGTCGAAAGTATACGTAAAAAATAAAATTAATTTGTACAGGATTTTACGTTACAGCTGAAAGTTGTTTTTAGATGTATATTAATAGTTTTTGTATTCTTTTGCATGTCGTTATTAAGTACAGCTACATAGCTGTTATCCACATTAATTGCGGTGTACTTCCTACTCTAGTTCCTGTTCGATATCTATTTTTCTATTTTATTATTATGAATTAAATGTAATGTAAAATAGATATTTTATTTATAAAATATAACAAAAGGTTTGAAAACATTCACAGATCAAATTTTATGCTAATGCCTAATAATAATGCAGTTAGTGAGTGATATTTTTAAAATTTCAAAGAAATGTTGTTAATTATAGTAAAAATACTGAATGTATAATTTATAGATAAAACCTTTTATGAATAGGTGTAATACTATAGTATTCATAATAATTTACAGATTAATTTTTATACACAGTATAAGATAGTTATAATATGATACGTATATAGGTAGTCATATAGATAATAATTATGATGTTAATTTGAACAAACAAATCAATTATCTACCTATTATTATTACTTCTTTAAACTTAAATGTGATTCATAATAATTGTTTTGTTTTATTAATTTGCTAAAACATTTAAGTATATTTTTTTATTAGAATGTATAACAATATATAATCTATATAATGTCAAATTTATGTTTATTTGTATTGACTAATAATAAAGAACTTCAATATAAAGTTTACAATTTAAGCAAATTACACCTCATAGGTATACCAATCTAATTTCAAAAAATATTTTATTTTCCATTTAACAATATCGGTTTCTGAAATATCTGAAAAATTTAAGGATCTATATTTACAATTTAAATGTTTAAAAAAATGTATGTTTAAGTAACAAAACCTTTTTTAATAAATATATTAAATTAACTACCTACCATAAATATTATTTTTCTTGAAATTCATGATATTTAATTCGTAGATTTAAATTTTAATTAAATTGTATAATTTAATCCATGATCAATAGATAATAATATAATAACACAATAATCATAGTAAAAAATACTTATTACTGTTTTTAATTTATTTTAAATAAGATACCTATCTTATTAGGTACTTACTTATATTTTAGAAGTTTTAGTAATATAATCTAATAAATTATGATTGTATTATCCTATTCATAGCTAGGTATTATAAGAATAAGTCTATATTTAAGTATTTAATTTTTAATTGAACTGGCGTTCATGCCAAACTAACTTTTTTGTTTGTATCAACCACTTAGTTATTTATAGACATTTATTGATCAGTTAACATAATTTGTTAAATTTCTAGAATATCAAACAAAAAGCATCCTTGTAAATTTATAATTTTATTTTTCATTTAATAAAATGTTAATTTTTTTCAATAAATAGATATTTTACCAAATTCTAAATTTGTATTCTTGGAGTAGTATTTCTGGACAAACCTTTCAGCATGCCATATTATTTTTTCTTTTTAAAATAAATTTGCTTATTAATTTAAAATAAAAATTGTATTTTTGTATGTTTTCAACAAAAAAAATGGTTGATAATTTATATATTCGTGTTATTAATTAACTTTTGATTCAATCATTTTAATAGGTATTTTTTTTTTATTTTTTAACCTAACCTATGAATTTTAATTAATAAAGAGAAAACACTTTTTCTGTAAGACTTCTAAGTTTTTTAATGTTCACTTAAAGAAATAACTAGATACATGATTTATTTTTAATATTTAATATCTTTGTAGTTTGTAGTATTAGAAAATAAATAATAAATATAATAAAGTATCCATAAATTCATTAATTTAGCTACCTTCCTGAGTATAGTATTTTGATAAATTCTAATTCATAATAATTATTACTAAATAACTGTTATTTAATTGTAAAATTATATCATTAAATAATATTTTTTTGAACAATAATTATTTTAAACACTTAATAGATTTCAATTAATTAATATATACTTACAATTTTAAACTAGAATTTAACTTGTCACTATTATTTGTATACATATAGAGTAGAATCTCGGTAATCCGACACATATCAGACCATGCTACTGTTGGATTAACGAAAATGCTGAATAAGTGGGGAGTTCACAAAAAACGCATTTTTACTTATTGAATTTTACATTTTTACTCGTATTAAAAAATTATTTAAAAATCTTTTAGGTTGAGAACAGTTTTCTTTTTGTTTATTAGGATTAGATCTGTTATTACTTAGTTTTATCTAACGGTTTATCGTTTACGATAGTAAATTTATATATAAATACATATTGGTACATATAGGTTAATACAGCCGGATTACCGAGATTCTATTGTTTATTTATATATTACATATAAATAATTAATACAATTATTGTATTGTTATAAAAAAAGATGCTTATAATTTCAATATTCTGTTAGATGTGTAAAACCTAAATGACAAAAAGTAAAATTGTAATTTTAACATGTGTAATGTATACAATTAGGTAGGTACCAGAAATAAGACTCATATTTAAAATTATAATTGATAAACCACAACTAAACCAAAACTGATATTCTTGTAGTAGGTGATCTACTGTGGTATATTGATGTGTAAATTAAAAACTACTGATACATGTATGAGTACAAATAATATTTATTTTGGATTTGAATAATAATGGAAATGTATTATATTTTTATTGTATCATATTATAGCCATGTTGATACATTCAATTATACATCACTTATTTTAATATTTATTACTTAATCACTAGATTTTCATCAAACAATCAAAAATTAAAAATAATTCAGTTATTTCCAAAATACAAATACTTAAGTACTATAAACATTTTTAGTATTTATTGAAAATTTCAAAAAAGTATCTTGGAGGTTAATTGAAGTTCACTGTGCATTAATAAGATGATGATGTAAAAGTTTAAATGTTTATGCATTTTTTATGAATTTTCATTTAAGATATGACCAAATACATTTTATTATCTGGATGTTGGCTTCTGTTTATAGATAAATACTAAGCTATAAATATTATAGTAGAAGTAGATGTTGATGAACACAACAAAATAATTGTAAATTATCAACTACACCATTGTATAGTAGATCAGTTACTTTATCTAAAAATAGCAATAGATCATCTGATACTCAAATTCCTCAATCCCAAGAGTAAACAAAATATTATTTAATGTTGACAACCATATAATCGTTTTACTTTAGTAAGTTAAAATTTTGAAATAATTTTTACACTTTAAATAAAATAGCATTATAACTAGTTTATTAAACAAAATTTCATGTTTATAAAAAAAAAAAGAACATTTGATTAGTTAGAAAAATACAATCATAATTTTTTTTTCAAATTAAATAATAGATAATATTAATGTATTGATATTTTAAAATATATTATTGAAGTATTTTTTCCTGCAAATATTACAGTTTAGAATTTATTATTGTGATCAATGATCATAAATTAAATGCAGTGATATAGGTATACTATGAATCATAAAATAATTATTGACTAAAACTTAATGTTATTGAAACAATGAGTATTATATTATGTTATTAGTTTATGATAACATTTTTCATTTTTATTACTTAATTGAATTGCAATATTGCATATTTGATAATATTATCATCTATGGTTATTAGTTAGTGAACATTCTTATATAATTGTAATAGATACGAGAATTAACAATAGGTATCTTATAAATTTATAGTGTATGTTGCAAATAAAATATTTTTCATATAGTTATAAACTATGTGCAGTGGACATCCATAATTTTCTGATGTAAATGTCATAATACTCATAATTGTTTATTTTATATTTAAATACAGATATAATGTTTTGATATTATATTATAGTTATTAATGTTAGAATTGTTTTTTTGAATTTAAGTTTTAAGGTTATAACTCAAAAAAAAAATAAAAGAATATTTGTTATATAACAGTACAGGTTAAATGATATGTCATCAGATTTATAATATTCAATTTAAAATATTATATCAATTATTGTAACAATAATTACAATTAAATTCATCTGTTTTTAATATTTTAATTTTTAATATTGTAACATGCATACTGTAGTAATTAATAAAATTAGTATCAATTAATTTAAAAAATATAATTTAATTAAATAGTTTGCACATTGACTATTTAAAAACAACAATTAGAACACAAGTTAACTCTAGGTATTAGATGTTGAGTACTTGTCTTATTCCGCTTAACTCATCAAAGGATATTGAACATTTTAAAATGTTGAAAAACCATCACAATTGTAAAATTTTCAGAATTTAACTTGTATTAATTCGATGATTTTTAAATATTCTTCTATATTGATGCCTGTGGCCTGCTGATAGTTTTTTATTACGCTCAACTAATTTACTGATTACTAAAAATATTGATAATACTTAGAGTTCAAAGTTAGTTATTAGCTTATTTTAGCCAAAAGATCAAAAAGATGTGATATGTACTGGCCCCAAATTAATTAATTCTTAAGCAAATGCATTACTTACCTAACTTTTTTTTCATTGTCTTAAAATTACCTGTATGACTGTAATAGGTAGGCTAGTACTTATCTACTTATGAATATGAGATCATAACTTAAATTATATATACAATTATATAAGTATTTAATACATGCATACAGCTTGTAAAATATCTAAATTTTCGTACCTAGGTACTACACACATATTCCAAATCGGCCAAATCTGAATAAAAAAATCAATGCTCTAGAAATATCAATGCCTGTAAATTTCTTTAATTAAAAACACATAATATAAATTTAAATAGAAATATGTATAAGTATATTATTATATAACTCTGAACATAATTAAGTTGTTATTAAAGCAATAACTTTAAAATAGTACTTTAATATTTTACCAAAATAAATATTGTTTAAAAAATATTTTTAAAATTTTATACTACACACGATTTTAGGGGCTGATATAATATATTTTTAATATCTAGATAGATTTGTATAAAATAAAATAATTGTATATTTATAAAATGTATGATAAAAATAAAAATGTTTTTGTTATTTTTAACATAATATTATATATTATTATTGATTATTAATATATGTATTTTGTGAATTAATATTTTTATTCTTGGAAAAACCTATCAACTTAGCAAGCTATTATCAGAGTATTAAATCGCGTTAATTATTAAATTATTAAAATTTAAAGTTAAATATTGTATTTTCACTTTATTTAATAGGTATATTCTATCTGTAATTTAACGTAGTATTTATGATGTTGCATTATAGCAATAATGGTATTTTATATAATTTTAATTAATATGTTAAATTTGTTGGTACCTATAGTTTCAGACAATATAATTTTGGTGATGTGGCCGATGTACGTGGGTACACTGGGTACATAATAGTATTGATTATACTATGTATAACCAATGTTCAATGATATTAATTATAAATAATTATAATACGTATGTAGGTATATTGCATACATATTATGGATATATTTATTAATTGTCACGTTAAGTTCAAATTTCTGAGAAAAAAGGGTTGGTGACTACTGACTACACATTTAAATATTGTCTTGTTGCATGGTAACTACCTAAATGTAATACGCAATATGTGCCTCACTGCCTCGTACAGTCGTACGACGTAATAAGTCGTTGTCCGTTGACATTCTTTAGTTTCTTTATACACATGTATATACTTATTAATTTTAATATTATAGTTCTCACGAAACGTAACCAATACATTAAAGAACGGTGGTGTTTTTACCTCCTTTTTAAGATGAGTATTAAAAATTATGCTTTAAAAAGACAGGCTCATTATTTTAAAGGATCAAATCTATGATGTAATTGATATAATCATTAAACTTGAATATACTGCAACAGTTTTTAGTAGATTTACCAGTTATCATTTACTGCTGGATGCGCTTTTATTTAAAACGAAGTTATAGTTAGAAATTAAATTTCTTTGTTTGTGTGTTATTTAAAAATATTTAATGAATAAATTATAAAAGTCAAATAATTGTTCGTATTTTAGATGATAATAATCTTGATTTTACTCTCCTGCTTCAACATAGTGTGCAGTCTTTAATTTAATTTATTTATTTTATTATAATATTGTGAAATCTAACAACTTGTTATTTTAATTTATTCACAGCATCTTTCCCACCAATATAAATAAAATTCGATTAAATAAACTAAAAACAGCTTGTTGTATGTACCGTTGGTACTCATGCCAATGAAATTGGTTAACTCTGTATTTTTAACTCAGACCGCAGAGTCTACTTATTGCTTTATTGGTGACGATGTGAAACGCGCTCTTTAATCTTGAGACTAATTTTTTTACCTACGACGTTTAAAAACAACACATTTTTGTAGATTTTAAATCATAATATCTGGTATAATAGTGATTACTGGATACCTATAGTTACCTATATACAAAATAAATTTATTGGTATATGTTAAATATAAGAAAACGGAACCTTGACGTCATTGGCTTTTTTTTGGCAGATTCTTTATTCGGCTGTATTATTTCTACAATGGAAGGTGTAAATGCCGATATCATGCAATCTGGTTTGCAACGTCTGTGGGCCAAGCGTCAGGGTACAATCTTAAGCCACATGCATGAAATTCGGGATGAAATATTGGACCAGGGTCAATGTGCATCGTCATTTGATAACCAGGTTAGTTGATTTATGCAATTACGTAAAGTGAATTAATAAAATTTTTTTATAATATAATATAATATATAGGATTATTTTAGTAAATATAATACACTTAATGTAATGATAATATGCGTGAATGAAATATATATGTAGATTAAAGAATACGGAATAGAATTTTTGATATAAATATTGTACACAGTACTTATATAGTTATATAGTATTATACTCAAAGACCTTGTGGAATTGAATGTGTGTACAAACGTACAATTTAAGTATCTATATGAAATATAAAAAAAAATTTAAAATATTAATGAATTTAAAATGAGCGTAATTAATAGCTAGATATATTTATAATATAACATAAATGGGTTGTTATAAGGAATTTGAATTATTGATATAGTGTATTGATTATTGAATTGTAGCTTGTAGGAAGGCATATTTATTAAACATAATTTTCATTTATTAATATAATTACACGATTTTAGATGTTAATCAAAAATTGCAATTAATGTTTTCAATTATTGAAGTATCTAATGCAATAACAAAATTTATTTTTGAATTATTTGAATATAATTTTATTAACATTATGTGATAAAATATAATGAAATATAAATATTTACATATTTAAAAAAAATCTCTAAAGGATCCTGTTTAATATAGTTAATATTAGGAGAATAAATTTTAAAAATTACTTTAATTATTTAAAGAGTATAATATTTTGCAAAAGTATGCATTATTTTTGTTATCATTAACATCTTATTTTATTTTTAAATGAAACTAAATTATATAATTAAATTAAATTGCATAAATACAATAAAAAATAATTATTATAAATCTATAGTTTGATTCAGCATATAGATAACTATGTGGTATTTAAATTTAATTTTTAAATGAAACTTTTTTTTAAAATCTATTTGCTTAATATTTTACATAAATATTTAAATATGCAAAATCACTTAAATTTGATAAAATATGTAACATACAGTTTTAGATTTAAGTTATATGTTGTATGTATTATGATTTGTAATACTAATTTTTGTCAAATCATATTCTGAATATGCAGCTTCTTAAAAAATATATCAATGCACAAGTTGTATATGTTACTCATAAACTAATTCATAGTATTACAACAAAGTAACGAAATATAGTATTAAAATGTAAATTATATAACTGCCTGCAGACTTAAAAATTATGAAATTTTTTTTTAGTTAAGAGATTTTAATATTCAATAATATCCTATACTAAAATATATTAAACGTGTTACATGTGAAATTAAAAATTAAATCTATTAAAATGCATAATGATTTAAAATGTTTCTCTGACAGTAATGAGTTTTTAAATACTTGTTTGCATTTAAATAATTATTTGTATTTAAATAATTATAGGAATTATCAATTGAGAAAAAAAAATATGTGATTAAAAAAATAGTTATTGTTAAATACAAAATTACTTAATAAATATTCTAAGGACACATTTTTTATAATAATTGAAGTGAATGTAAATTATTTAAGGTCATTAATTACATGTATTTTTGAATTGTATGTAATAATAATTTTGGATTAATGTCTAATATTATTTCATCTCTATTATTTTGTTTCAAATTTATCTTTTTTTGGTGATAAAAATAAATTGTCTAACTTACTTTATTTGTTAATTATATTATTGGGGAAGTAAAATATAAGTAGTTATTTTACAAGAATATAAAATATGCACATTTTTATATTTAATATATAAGACATCTCTCAATAATATATTAAAACAAATCAGGTGTACTAAATATCTTAAATTTTGTTTGAAAATTAGATAAGAAATTTAAGTTATGATTTTATGAAGTTAAACAGTATAATTAATAAGTTATATTAAGTCATGTATAAATATTAAATATTATGTTAATTTGTCATGGTTGTATCATTACAATTTTATTTTTAGCCAATTGATGGAGAATTACTAGGGGATAGAGTCAAGTCTAGAGATGAAGCTCGTTACATAAAAAAAGTTAGTATTGTTTTTAAGTAAATATTTCATTACAATAATTGGTTGGTAGGTAAATTTATCTATACATAAATTATAAAAAGTAATAGAAAATACATGTTCATGATAATGATTGAAAATGGAAATATTTTTATTTTCTACTAAATAATAAATACTTATTTATGATAATTTTCATAGACTTTAATATTTATTTTAACATGTTATATACAATGATTAATTATTTTGAATATTTCATTGCTAGTTTAATTAAGCTTCAGCAAAAGCCATAAAATTTCAATACATATATTATATTGTGTTCTAGAATTTGAGTACTAACATTAATTTAATGTTGAGTTAGTGAGGTTTCAATGAAGCATCCTTTTTTAAAATTCATTTAAACTTATGATTTCATGTGGCTTCTGTACAATTATATTATTTTAAGTGGGTAGTATTTAAACAATTGTCTAGTAGTCTTTCTTTTTATTCAATAGTATACAGTCGAGTTTCTTATAGTATTCAATGTATACATGTATTAAAGTCTATTCACGCCTCAGGCTTATTTTTTAACAAATATGAAGTTCATGAACTCCTTTTACCAGAGCCCTGTTCTTGTCAGTTCAGGGTTGGTAAGTTATTATCTCTTGGTAAGTTATTAGTATGTTAAAATTATTTTATTTTCCTGTAAGTAATCACAATGTATTATGATGCAATTTATATACAAAAACACGAATGCACACATTGAGTTGTTACATTTTAGTATTTAACTAAATAATAAATATGTTGTATTCTAATTATAACATTTATAAATTATAACCTTCAAGTATGATTACAAAAGATTAAATGTTGTATTATTCTTATTATTTCTTATACCTACATTTTGTTATTATTCAATAAAATTATTAAATTAGACTATTTTTTTTTCTTTATCTATTAAATATAAATATAGATTATATAATGACAATAGGTTATGTAGCAGCTCAAATTGTGCATTTTATCACAAAATTATTATGTAATTTGCTGTTTTGGATAATTATTATTATTTATTTGGATTCAACTGTCATCGATACGGTGCCTGTTAAAAAAAAAAAAACATGTTCGCCAATGTAAATTCTGTTTACAGGACTCATCAGTTACATGCATGGTTTTTATATCCATGACGGACTCCATATTATCAGAACGAAGTTGCTTGTGAGTTTTTGTTGCGACTAAAAAAAAAAAAATGAAGTATTATCATGAAATACTGGCCAAGTAGCTTTACTACTTACAAAAACTTTAGAAATCTATATGATTCTAAAATTATAATTTACTAGGTAGATTTGTATTAATCGTATTTGTCATCTTGAATGGCAGAAACAATTTATATGTTAATAATTTATACTAAATTATAAATATAATTTTTTACTTAAATAATAATATAAAACAAAACTCTCAGATTTATTGTAGTATCTGGTTATGCAAAAATAGATGTTTAAAATTTGAAATTTAAATAGTTGATTCAAAAGTATTTGAAACAAGTTGTATAAATATTGAAATTTTCATTTTACTTATTATTGTAAATTTATAATTAATTTTAATTGTTCAATTAAATGTTTCGATACCATTTAAGTAATTGTTAATGGTACTATAACGCACATATATTTGTTTTTTATCAGACTATTATCATGATGCAATATTTTTTACTTGAAAAATAATAAAAAGTAAGAAACAAATTAGTTGTATAATTTTTTTGTTTTTATGTTTTTTATGTGCATCAATCTGAGGGTTTTGAGGTTATTAAATTTTTATAATTATAAAACCAACAATAAATAAACATCATACACGTGAGAAACACGTGATTAAATATATTTCATTATCTATTATTCCTAAACCCAATCTTCCTTTATAATTCTTAATATTACATTTTTATATTTTGAATTAAATTATTACTTATTATACAGTTATATTTTATCTATTGAAAAAAATCTAAAAACTTAATACACTTAGTATAGACTTTAAACTTATTAGATAATGTATTCTATATATCTAATAATAGTCAGTTAAACAGAAATTAAAATACTAAATTCTTATAAACATTATAGTACACAAAAAAATAAAATTATCCATACAATATTATATTTTTAATCTTAAATTTCTGGATATTTTCATTTATTTCATAAGTGTTCTGAAAATTATGTTAGCATATACATGTTTGAATTTAATGACTTTAAAATGTTTTAGTACTTAAACAATGTAAACTTATGATTTCCTAAGAATTATAAAGTAAATCAATTTTATCAACTTTTTTGATTTATCCAGATAAATCATTATAAATATACTTATTGATGTTTTAAAAGAACTATTCAAATTTTTTTCTATCGAATTTAATTTTCATAATACTATATATTATTGTAATTTAATATATTTACAAGAGATAAATAAAAATAATGTATCATTACCCTTTCATAATAATGTATTTAATTTTAACTAGAATTCATAAACTACAGACATAGGTAATAATAAAATAGACCTAATTGTATCTAATACCTAATGTTATTATCTGTTTTTTTAACATGTTATTTGATTTCTGGTTGAAAACTTATCTTAGTTTCATGATTAAAGTTATTATTCATATAAAAATGTCTACAAGAATTGAACTATAATGATTTTCATGTATTGTGTTTGGAATGAAAAATAAACACGAAATATTATAATTTTATACTCAAAAAAAAAGAAAAAAAAGAAACAACTGATAATTAATTGAAAATACATGGCGCGTTTTAAATGTTGGTAGAAAAACATGTGTGATTGATAGACTTTAAGACTAGAAACTTACATAGTGAATCCTGAACGTGCAACAAGGAGTTATGCTGTGGACTGTGGAGGATACTTGGAAACAACACAATTGGATACCATTTCACCTTCTGCTTTGTTAATGTTTTCTCTTAAATTTATCAAGACCACTTGTTTTTCTGCTACCATCAATATTGCGCTATTGGAAACATTTTTAATTATATAACATCATCAATAGTAAATTTTAGAAATTATATATCACTATTATTTTTAAATTGACATCTCCTTAATGCTTAAATCTTTTTCCTTTTATATTCAATCAATTTATAACCTTCAAATGAATAATAGTTTTTTTAATCAGTAGCTTTAAGAAATAACTAATATCTCCTTCAAAATATAAGTAGATAATCCACTTTTCTCAGTATAGAAAAATGTCATTAATTTTTATTTTTTAATGTGTTTTTTTTAGGAGCTTGCTGATACCTCTGATCCAGAAAAGATCAGTGTTTCATCTGCATTCAGCAGCTTAACAACTGCAAATTTTAAAAATTCTGATTTGTGTATTGAAGAAACTCCTGTGGTTAACCTGGATGGAGCTGAGCTCAATGATTTTCCTGCTAAATATTCAGTTCCATTATTACGACCATATGAGTTTGCTGCTGTTGGTGTCTGGATCCATCCAAATATTGTGCCTGGATTTAAATACAAAGTCCGTCCAATTGAAAATAAAGAGGTAATTGAACAGAAAAATGATAGTTACAGATAAAAATTGCTAATATGACATTTTTAATTTGTTTAGCGTACAAGATTCTTATTTGATAACAGAGCATTGGAATTAATAAGCATTGGTCGTGGTTATTCTAGACGTTTAACATTTGAAGCTAGTCCAGGGTTATTGAATAATAACGAAAATTATTTTTGGACTGATTCCATGCCTTCTGGTTATGCATTTCAAGTGCATGTTGTGTCTGTTGGTGACAACTTCACAGTTTTTGATGCAAATAATGTTGCTGTGGCTACTATTGAAGTCACTAAAATTCCGGTAATTTTAAATATGTTATATTCACTTCATACAATTTTTTTTTGAGTGTGTGGAGAAAGAGAGAGAGAGAGAGAGAGAGAAAGAGAGAGATTTTGGAAAAATATTTACTTACAGTAAAAATATCGGATCTTTTATCTTTTAGTTTGAAGCATTTAGAAAACTGTATAGGAGTGTAATAGTTTTATATTTAATTATTTTCATTTATATTATGCCAAATTAATAAGTACTCATAAGCTATAAACGTTTTGACTGATCATAAAAAAAATGTTAAAATGATTAATTATGTACCTAACATAAACTTATGAATCATTATAATAGTTAAATATTATTGACATTCTAAACACCAAATTAATAAATATATTAATTAATTATAATTGATTATTTTTAGAATGCTCAGAGAGAAGTCAATCATGAAGTAGTAGAAAATGGAGAGGTGAGGAAAAATGTAGAAGTCAACATTTTGTGCAAAGTAGATTGGTTCTATAAAGAAGATACATCTGCAATAACACCTGTAAGATTTTTGTATTTTTTTCAATAAATTACGTTGGTTGTGAATCAATTTTAGATAGCCTTATGTTGTCATAATGTTTCTAACCAATTTTTATTGTTCTACTTTTAGGTCACTGGTATTGCTGTGGCTTCTAAACTACCACGTGGATCAGCAAAGCTTATCAAGATATTAGATGCTTCTATTGGTTTTATACCATGTCGAGGTTATACTTTAATACCAGGTGTAGATGATAAACAAAGGCAATTGGTATTAAATGGGTGTAGTATTGGTGATGCTCCCACTATGTATATAATGACAGGTTTAGAACCATACGAATTGCCCGTGATTGGTAAATAATAATACATGATCCTGTATTACAGTGTAAAATAACTTGCTTTTTTTGTAGGCACTTACGTTGACCCAAGAATCATGCCTGGTTTTCATTATAAAGTACGTCCAACTGGTCATAAAAGTTATTTATTTGAAGGAAATGCATTACAATTGGTCAATATTGGAATGGGATATGGAAAACGTATGACATTTAAACCTGACAGCCATAATCTTAACAATAACACAAACTTCTTTTGGAGTGATTCATATCCAGAGGGTTATGGGTTTGAACCTCAAGCTGTATTTTGTGGCATGAAGTTTGATGTCATGGATGATACTCAGCGTATTGGTGAAGCCACAGTGTTCCGCAGTGATAATCCTCAAATTGAGGATCAACAATGCATTGTAAGGGTATTATCAAAGATTAAATAACATTATATATATATATGTAACATAAATATAATTTGTTATTTTAATTTGGATTCAATTCATTAGTGATGCATGGTGTAGAAAAAAGAGAGAAATAAGTATCTACTTGTCTTTTGTTCTTATGTAAATTGGTGAAATGAAACAAAAATAAAATAATTAGTGATAAATTATTGAATTGGTATCACGTATCTACAGTGTCATTTAATCTATAGTATTATTAATTTTAATTTAACATTGTAAAATTAACTTTTACATTTTAGGTTAAAGGTATAGCTGGAGTGACAGTGACCAAGTACATTCATGTGGATGTTACTTGTCAAGTGATGTTGAAGAGTGATAAATCTGATAATGAGTCTCATTCCGTTCGTGTTTCTGGTACTGCTGTTGTAGTCAAATACGCTAAGCAAAACGAGTCTAAGTTATTGTATATCGATAATGTTGGTCTTAGTTCTAAACTTAATTTGGTGTTTATGAATCAAAAGTCTCATATTATTTTCCAAGCTAAATAATCACGTCAGATAGTTCATAAGTTCAGCTTAAGCACTCCAAGACAAACATAGATATTTATTTTGTTCCTTTTACAGTTTATAAATGTGTCATTTTCTGTAAATTTACCTTAAGTATTTTTTATTGTCTTATGGTGTATTGGTTTAATATTTTCAATTTGTTAGACATTCGTTAAATATTTTTTATAGTTATAAAATATTTTATATTTTAATTTGTTTTTGGCATACAACTTAAATTTTTTGATTATTGCAGGGTCTGTGTGCTTAGCAAAATTTATAAATAATTATTGGTACAGTAATCTTTATATTGTCTTACTGTATAAATAATTATTTGAACTGATAATTTGATAATTAATCGATGGAGAGAGCACAAATATGTGTTCGGGGTTTAAAGTTTATTTTTGTTAATTAGAATAATATTTTAATAGTTTTCTTATCCTTCACACGTTGTATTGACTTGTGTGTTTTTTTTTTTTCAGTATTTAGTAGTTAATAATTAAAAAAATTTTAATTTTTATAGTAATTTTTACTAGAAAACAATGTATTTATTTAATTAATATTTTATGACTGAATTTCACGTTTATTAGCATAAACAATATTATATAATATTTAATATTATTCAAATTATTAAAATGTATTAATATTATTTTTCATTGGGACTATTACAAAACACATATATTATAATTTATTTAAGTTTATCATGTTAACTTATAGTAATTACATTTCTTGTTCAATAAATTAAAAAAAAATTAACTAGTGTTTTATTTGACAAAATTGATTTTGCCTGAAGTCTCCTTTAAAAAAAGCTTATTTGTGCAGTTCCTTCCCCTTGAATACAGCTCTATAATTATTTTAAATTGTAATAATGAATTCTTATTAATGTATTATATAATGTTATAATACAATTAATAACTATACAAAGCTATACTATTTGTAAGTCAAAAGTAAGTATGTATACATTTTGAATATTTTAATAGCACTAAAAAAATAGTTTTGATTCCAGAAATAAGTTTTGAGAACAAAAAAATGTGTATACTAATCAATAATTGATGGAAATTAATATGAAATTGTAGAATCATTTTTTTTTTTTTTTATTAAATTAAGGCTACAACATAACAAGTTATTATTCTATAGAGTATTTAAGGCTTATATAAGTAAATACTAATAAAAAATACAGTTTATGATTGTTCTTAAGGATTAGGGTGTCAGATTTATACAATGTTAAAAATTATTTATAAGATGGATTTTAGTTATGAATTTGATGATTTTTGTAGCGTTTTTGTTGAGAGTTTCTGTATTAGGTGCTATAGAAAAATTGGATTGTAATATTTTTTAAATTGTTAAAACCATTATATAATTTCTAGCTCTTTGTTGAAAATGTATTCAGTAATTGAAAAGATTTTCTAGCTGGAATTACTTTTTAAATTCTGATCTTGAGAAAAATGAATCCATGTTGATGCTAACAGACTTTTGAATGTATTTAGGTAGGTACCTACTGCTACAATTATAGCCTAAGGGTCATAATTGTAATTAAAGCTAAGCCATAAAATATTCATATATTTTCATTAATAAAGAAAAAAAATATTTTATATGGTATTTAATTAAATATTGACTAATTAAAAGTTTTTCAATTTTAATAATTAAAAAACGAATGTACCATTTGCTTTTTTCAGTTGTTCTTTATCCTATTACTGTGATTCATTTGTAAATTGCTCCTCTTTGTAAGTTACCTATTAAAAAAATCTTAAACATTTTGAAATACTTATCAATCTCTCATAAGAAATTAATTTACTTGTTTAACTTGTTAAAGTCAAACTTGAAAAGAAATTTTCATCACCAACTCATATTTATTCCTAGAGAATAGATACTGACATCAAATTGTTATTATTTATGGAAGACCCAAGAGCTCTCTATTACATGTGAGTGGGTGACAGATTATCTTGGAAAAAAGTGAGTGTTTTTGAAAACGCACTTTTCTTTTATGATTTGACTAGCGGGTTAATTTTAATAGGTATTTAATAAAAAAAAATAATAATTTACGAAAAAAATTTCATTATAAAACTTCTTCATAAGCTACATTTGATGTGTTTTTATTTGGTGGCAAAATTACTAAACATGTAAGCGTACTGACTAGAGCATACCTCATAAAATTATCCATGTGAAAAAGAGCTTAAAAATGTGAGCTCACAGCTTATAAACACTTATTCATCGATGTATAAAGGTGTACAATTTACACAGGAAATGTTGTTTTTTGCCGATTTCAATCCTTTAGAATCAAAATTTAAAAAAAATCCTTCTTTTGTATAGGTGAAATTATAATATTAATCTATATACCTTCATAATTTCAAATTGATAGCTCTAATAGATTCGGCTCTGCGTGACAGTTTCGTTTATGTAATATACAGAGATTATTGATATTATATTTAATATTTTTGATGTAATCCTACAATAAATATTATCTTGAACTCAAAAAAATATTAATTTATTAGAAACCCTTGTAAGTGATACGCATGCAACTCAATATTCAGTATTGTGAATTATGATGACCACCTTATCAGAAAGTTATGAATAATAATGAAATCAACGGAATCTTGTCTCATTGATATGAATACACGAGAGATTAAAATATAAGGTTACATCCACAGCTATATCAGGCACCAAGCATCTTATATTCTAAAACCTAATCGCAAGATAACGCTATGGCAATTCATTGCTCATTAGGATAACAACCAGTTACATAATAATTAATAAATTTAAATTTAGGTATTATCTGTACTCTGTAGTGACAACAAGCAAGTAGCAACTGCTATTTTCCGCACGTGTGAGGCTTGAAGCGTTTCCGATACCGATGCGTCGTTTTTAATTTTTTTGAACATATTCCGTAAGGTTGCGATGCATTCAAGTACTTTACCGTATTTACTCATATATTCGGAAAACTAGGAAAATCTTCTATACGATGCGACTAACTCCAGAGTGTTTATAGTTTTTGGTCCAGTGGCATACCCAGGGGGGAGCTTTGGGGCTTAAGCCCCCTCCAAAAAAAAATATTTTTACATTAAATTATACATTATTATAGCAATAATAGCCAAATATAGTATAATAATTATGAATTATAATGTTTAATAATCTATGTGGTAATAATAAAAAAAAATAAATAATTATTTAAAAATTAGTTGTAATTGTTTACTTGTATGTAAGGAGAGTAGAGAAATATTTAAGCCCCCCCCAAACAAAAATTTCTGAGTGCGCGCCTGTTTTGGTCACATACTATGTAGTAATAAGCACTATGTAGATGTACGTCGTGCTGTCGTGGTAATTATTGTAATTATTATAATTATATAATATATAGTAATATATCTAGTGAGTTATGACTTATGATTTTATGACTTCAATAAGCATTGATATTTTTAACTGCGATAATAAATTTTTACTTTGTTATCGGCTTATGAATAGTAAACCTCGTATATGGTAAACCTATTATCAAATGCATTTCCCGCGGATTTTCGTTCAGCAGTTATCAGCTAAATGCTCAATGTTTTTTATTATTGTTAATTTTGTATTTTTGTTTTGTATTCCGCTACTTGATAGTCATTAGTCATTACTCATTAGTCATTAGTCAATACTCAATAGTCAGTTAAACTCAGTCAGGCACTCAAATATTTGATTATATAATATTCGGATATTATTTCTTGGTACTTCCAAATTTTCATTTCGTATATTCTGTAGTACTTCTATCTCAGATTAGGTGTACACTGTTTTCAGTTAACTTGAATATTGAAAACTATTTACTAAAATAGTTACTGTTACAGTATTGTGATTTGCAGACAGCATTTGCAGTTAGACAGATAAGAATATTAAGTTACACTAACAGCACTTTGCACTATACTGTTATTGTTGTCATTTACTGTAAAGCTTTAAACTACTATGGATTCAACATTTTCTGTGTCTAAGGTAAGTTTTTGAATATATGAAAAAAATGTAATACTATCATTGGATGACTTTTCCTTCACATTTTCATTTATATAATCTTGTAGCATAAATTCTTATTGTACTCTAGAGCATAGGTTCTATATTTCTTTATGAAAATTGTTAAATATTAAACTTGAATATGAAACTGAAAGTCTGGTACTTGTATCCACCTATAATATAATACTATTAATACTACTATTGATTTTGATTTAATCAGTTTTAGTTTGTTAATTTAAATTATAATGTGATGTTACTTGTTTAAATACTTAACTATAGTAGATTATAAATTAATTACATTTAAGAAAATGCATAATTGTAAATTGTAACTCAAAGAATTTGTATTTGTTATTATTTCAAATTTTTTGAACTTAAAGGCAATTAGTATATCAAAAATTCAATTGTATTTATTTCATAATATCTATTGGCTATTTATATATATTATAAATATTAAATATCAATAGCTGTTATGTAAATTAACTTAATATAAGTTAAAAAAAATTTTGATTGTTACTTTTTTAGGGATGTTTTGTGTTTAAAAAACCAAACAAGGAAAAGAACAAAAGAAAAAGTAAAAAACAACTGACAACCAATCAACCAAAAGTTGAATTATGGCATACTACGTACATTGATATTTGGAATGATATTAAATCTAAAATCGATGTAATTATTGTTGAATTAATTTAATACATATGGTATACAAACAGAACATTAATGTACATCACTGAAATGTTTTAGGATTTAAATGGATCAATATACTCTAAGTTTATTTCAGACACAGTAGATTTCATGACAACGTCAAACATAACTACAAATCAAAATATTCCAACAGCATGTTTATTGACAGGTTCAGTTGTAAAATTAAATTAGGCATATATATGTTTTAATATAGTAGTTTTTTTTTAAAATTTAATAGGAGTTAATTTACCAGATCATGAATCTCTATTTGAATTACTAGCAACCAATTTAGAAAAATCTCAGCCGCCTGTTATTGTTGCAACACTGTTTTCTGAGCACTTTTCTAGTGTTAAAAATGCAGTTATAAGTATGGTGTCACAATTGTTACATACAAATAATGATGAATCTGATGTATGCCTTTATTTATTCTTTGATATATTATGATTATTTATAAAAATATTATTAATTAAATATATTATATTTTAGTCTGATGAAGAAATAGATGAAAGCTTAAACTCTGTTGTTAAACGATCTGAATGTACTATACCTAATTTAATTGAATGGTATAGCCATCAACCAAATGGAACTCGTATAGCAGTTCTAATAAAAGATTATGAAATGTGTCATCAGACAGTCTTGCAAAATTTCATTTTACTTTTAAGGTTTTTGTGAAATTATTTACTTATAATATTTTTGTTTATTTATATTATAGTTTAAATAGCACTATAAATAAAAAAAGCCAAAACAGTAATTTATGGCTCATTATTTTAACTTGGATTTGATTCTTTAGTATAGAGACAGGAGACTAGTAGATACTTATTTCTCATTTTCTGTTATCTTATATTACTAATTAGTCAAATAAAAATAAAAATAATGATTGATAAATAATTACTCGAGCATTGCAGAAATATAGTGTTATTCAATCTATGCTTAATGCTTATATATTATTTTAACCCTTTTTTTATATTTAGTTGCTATATCAAAGAAATCCCAATTGTTATGGCTATTGGTATTGCTACTTCTATATCAAACTTACACAATTCTTTTCCTCATCATGTGGTTACCAAACTTAAAGTGAAAATGTTTGTTAGTGAAGCATCTGTTGTATTTTTAAATAATATTATGGATCAGGTATAATTAATTAATATGTCCAATAAATTAAAGTATTTTTAATATTTATTATTAATTATGTATAAATATAATCTAGATTTGTATGCTTTTATATATTTTATATATTTGATGAATTTGATGATTGAACATTTTTTTTAATAATTTTTATTTAGGTATTTCTAAAGCCAGACTGTTCATTCTTCTTGGGTGGACGTATTTTGGAATATGTGACTGAAGTATTTTTGTTCTATAATTTTTCTATTAAACAGTTTATAGAAAATCTTAAGGTAACATTAATAACTTAATTCAAAGAACTCAAGAATTTATAATTTTACTAATAATTATTCTCATAGTTTTGTCTCATAGAACATTTTTATCGTAAGCCTCTCAATTGCATATGTGTTGCTCATGAATCAGCTCAAGAAGCTTTATTTGATTCTTTAGATAAAAAAACACTAGAAGAAATTACAAAACTGCGTTCTACTAATTATAAATTAAATATTGACAGCAATTTTAAAGTATAGCTATGATCTTAAATAATTGTTCAAAACTGATTATTTTACTAAAAATTTATTTTTAATGACAATTTCAGGAAAATTTTTTTCAATTAATTAAAGAATTGAAAGCTGGTATCAATGATTTTCATGTTGGATTAAGAGTATTATATATTTTGGTGTCAGATTTACCACATTCACCATTAGGAACTCAAGTAAACAAATTAATAACATTTATTTATAATTTTTTTTTTTTTTATTTCTAAAATGTACATAAATGTAACATATTTAGCTCAGAGAAATGTATTGTATTGCAATGAAAAAGCATATAATTGACAACCCATCTTACAAAACATGTCTACAATTATTAAAATTTTTGTCCAAAGCTGAGTTACTTGCTAAATTTGACAAGGTAAATTACTATTTTTTATTGTTCTTTATATTTGACATTTTATATTTGTTTCATATTATTTAGATAATTCAAGTTTTCAAGAATGTAAAAAATAATAAACAAACAAAAGCTGCTTTAAAATTAGTTCAAAGTTATGTAAAACGTTTAGAAGAGTCTCATTTGAATAATTTAGTTATTGAAAAAGATAAACCTATAGAGAAACCCAAAGAAAATTTACAAGCTACATCGAGATCACAGTTTAAAAGAGTATAATTTAATATAGTTATAAATTAACATTGTTTTATTATTATTATATTTTTTTATTAGAAACTTATGGAAAATGTTAAACATGAAGAAAGCCAGCCAATGACTGAGTTTGAAAAAGCACGCTCAGAAACTTTGGATCATTTTACGGAAGAAATATTACGTCAATTCCTTACACCTCCAACAACCATGCCTTTAAATGAATTGTTGATTTTTGATGATTTACCATTAATTAAACGTAAAATTGTTGGAGAAGACAGAGCTGCTCAATATACAGCATTTGTTAACCCTCAACACTATTTATGTGTAAGAATTCTTGATATGTAATTGATTTGCATAAACTCAACAAATAATTTTTATATCAACAGTGTGATTGCTGTGAATTGGAATTTACAGAACAAATATTCAAAACCATGCCAGATATATCTATTGTGTATAAATTACATTTAGAGTCAAGGTTTGACCAGATTAACATATATGATTGGTTACAGGTAATTTAAAAGCCAAGTCAATTTTAAATTATTTTTCATTACGTTATTTTTACTATACATTAGTTATTTTTTTAAGACGACTAAATAATTAATAATTGATTAATTTAACCTATTTAATTTGCATCAAAACATCTTTATAATTTTATTCTATTTTCTTTTTATCCTAATAATTTATTTTCATTATTGCTATTTATAAATTAATGTTATATTTGTTTTTAAGCTAGATGATTAAATAAATAAATAATGTAACTATTAATTAGGTTTAGTGACTATAAGTATCTGTTTTTATTTATTTTTTAGAAATTTATTTCAATTGTTAGTCCAGACCAAAACGACAATGATAATGATGACGATATAGATCCAGTATTACAGTATCCTTTTAATACGTTTTTGAATGATTCTCTGTATAGTATTTTTAGAAAAATTACATAATGAATAGTTAAAAAGATTATTAATTATTTATGTTTATTTGTAGACTATACTCTTACTTAAATTGTATTTATTTTATGTTTCTGCCATTTTATATTTTAGATTCTTAGGGGAGCAATGAATGTATTGATTTTACAATGATGTGGGTTTTTTCTTGTGTATGTGTACATAATAAGTAATCAATTAAATGCTTTAATTTTCAACTTTTAAAGTGTTTCTGTTAGAAAATCTGACCTAGTTTATACTTTAAAGAGGTAAAATTACTAGTATTTTTCAAAATAATTAGTAAAAACAAATAAAATATTAAGGAAATCTCGAATTTTTATAGAAAAACAGTTATTGACCAAATTAATTTTATATTTTTAATTTAACTAAAAAAACAAAAGTCTAGCTCAAAATTTTCACTGAGTGTTAGTATTTATTATGCATATTTTAATTTTCAAAATATTAAAATATTTTTTCTATAAATGCAAATAAAAAATGTATTGTTGGATAAAAATTCTAGAAAATTTATTAAAAGGTTCTTAAAAAACATCTCAACATTAATTTTTTTTTTTAATTTTAAGTTTATTGGTGTATTATGTATTATTGTAACTAATACAAAGAAAAACGTTCTGGTAAAAATTTGAAGTTTAAAAAATGATTATTCAACAAGATAATGAAAGTTGATGCTGTATGACGTCATAGAGCTGACCAGTGAGCAGCCGCCTATGTTTTATGTGTAAAAGTAGTTTGATTTATACAATGATTTTAATAACTTAAAATAGTATTTCAGAATTTTTTTTTCATAATCTTTAGACAATGGTGTGATTTAATATTGAATATAATATCTTGTTGTTGCATACATATTATAAATTATAATTCAGTAAAATTATTGAGTTTGTGATTTGTGTCAAATATTCATATAATAACCAAATTTTATGAAATTGACAATAATAGTTTTATCTATTATAAAAAAAACTAAAAAGTATATCAAAATTATAATCACACCAGTGTCATAAACAGATCAAAACACTTAAGGTTGTGTAAAAAAAAATTAAAAATATTATATTTAATGATTGAAATTATTGTGTTAATCTAGACATTTATGCACGTAAAACAAACACTGCTGTTTTGACTTCGGCTCTATTACATCACATGCATATTTTCAAACGCCTGTATCTCATTGAATAATTAGTGTTTAAGTGTGAGACCCACATCATATTTCTTAGATAAAGACATAATTTAAATCTAAACAAACTTGTTTTTATCGTTGTGATGTCCTTTAAGTTGTTTATTTACTAATTAAAAAATATCAAACATGTATTACAATATTTTGTTATAAGCATTTGAAGTTATAATTTTGATAACATTTTTAAAATATACTGATTATTTTGTAATTAAAAATTCATAAAAATGATCTCTTTGTATCTAAAATTTTAAATTTGAATACAAGACTATTAGTTTTTTTTATGTATAACTAAAATAAAATGTTTTAATTGAAAAGATATTAATTTTCTTGTGACCTTTTGAATTAAAATATTTATGACGTTAAATATTTACAAATAATATTATTTTTTTTTTTTCATAGATACTTGAAATATTCACTGAACATATTTTATATTATCATTTTCTATACATGGAGTAATTTTTAAATATTTTGACCTTTTGAATTAATTTAAGAAATTTTCAATTTTTTTTTTTATGGCAATAACATTATATTGCCAGGTTAAAATTCTTCACAATTTAATTCAAAATTCCACATAAATTATTCTTATATCTGTATAAATATGAAAATCTATTTTTATATGTATTTTAAGTTAAAATTTTTGCAAAAAGTTACAAATTACAATATTTTGTTAACATTTTTTAAAATTTTCAATTTTTATTGCTAAGATTTGAAAATGCCGTATAATGTTTTTCTTATGTGGTTTATACTAGAGCTATATCATTTTGTTGGGACTTAAATTTTTATCATATAATACTATGAATTCAAAACTATGTGTAATGATATTTTCAACATATTTAGATACATTTTAAGATATTTCTATCAATAATGTTTTATAGTATGATGATATTGACTCAAAAGTTAATAACAATAATTTAATTTGGTATAACTATATATTATGATAATTAAATATTAATAAATTCAATGTTTTTGCCAAATTAAATAAACTTACTTTAATATTAATAGTAAAATAAATTACTTTAATAGATATAATAAAAAAAAAAAATAATATATATATATATATGTATAGGGTCTGCTTAGAATCTTTTTTACATAAAATAATATATCATTAAATTAAAATTTAACACATCTGTTTAAGGTAGCTAAAGGTTCATACTTGCATAGTTTTAAAGCAATCAAATTTAATATTTACAAAAATTCAATGATTAATATTTACTTTTTTGACAAATATTTTTAGTTCTGTATTATTATTTATATTTTGTGTTAGATTAGCTTCAATTTATAATTATAAATAACTTTATTTTTTTATTTGTTACTTTTCAAATTATGTATATTTTTACTTTGACAAAATTATTATTATTTTTTTTTTTTAAATATATTCTATGTATGAATTGTTTATTAAATTAGTAGATTTTAGTTTTAGATTTTTAGGTTGATAAATATTTTATAATACTTTAGAAAATAATAATTTTCCTTAAGCATTTTATGTGTTAGATCTCGATTTGTGCGTGCTGTAAATGAATTGCAGCATTTGGGATACATACGGCCGTCCAAGTACAAAGCAGATCATGTGCAGCGCCTTACACATGGATCTTGCTAATTAATAATGAATAATGACTTATATTAGTTATTTATTAATGTCTGAATTTTAATTCTTATTTATTTTTCTCACTTTTTACCTAAAGAAATAAAAATAATTATTTTCCTTAATTGCACGTAATATTCATTTTTTAAAAATTTGTAGTACTTATCTAATAAATATTATTTATATTCAATATTCATTACAAAAAAGTCAACGTTGCTATTATGTTCGGAATGAGGACGCGCAAGCGGCCCTATGGAGTCTAATAATTAACCACAAGTTCCTCGATATAATCGTTTTGTTAATTATAAATTCCGCACAGATTCAGGTCATTTCCTAGTCTTATATATATATTTTTATGTATTATATACATATATTATGAATATGTGTTTTATTGAAAGGAAGGAACAATGAGGCTGTGTCATAGGTATTGGTAATAGTATCTATGTTCTATTTTATACTTACGAATATTTCCGCAAACATCACAAGTACCTATGGGCTGTTAGAAATATTGCTATAAATGAGAGTATACCTTCCATGTTAATTAATCGTCCCCGGCTAGGTTACTGCCGAAACTAGACTGTTTAAAAATCAAATTCGTGAATTTATTCCGTTACCGTAATTAGATTAACGGAACCAGGAATTGTAATTATAAGCAACTTTGTAAATATACTTTATTAATATGGGAAAAATTTGCATACATATTACAGATAATGCTGTAACTAGGATTTTACCCCTTGCAGTAGAGTGTAGACACTGATAGAATACGGGGTTCTTGAATTGGTGATTTGGAATTTAAGGGGCTGAATTCCAGCATAGATATAATTCATGTAGACATTCGTAGCACCTACTTAATGATAATCACCCGAAATAAATTTGCTCTTTATGTAAAGTATGAAATCAAAATCGTTTATTTTAAATTGATAATAACCACAAAAATTATTTAAATGACATTTTCACTTGACCAATTATTTTCAAATTAAAGCATTCCTTTTTGTCGGTGATTATGTGAAATTCTAAACGCTCCAAAGCATACGCTAAGGACTAAGGAGACCATTTACAGAGTCATTGGCCTGTATATTTATTAGGTACCTAACACCTAAACACATAGATTACAGAGTAATCCTTTTTGATATATAAACCTTTCCTTTTATCAGTTTATATTAGGTAAGTTTGTAAAAAATCTTGATAATTTAATAGATTCCTAATAAGTTGTTCTTAATTTTTATACCAGTTATAACTTATACTAATCGAAAAGTACTAAAATTAAGAAACTTAAGAATTTACAATAAATTAACAAATAGTATAAAATAATTTTAATAACTATAGGTAGTTTGAAATTTTAATACAAGATTCTTGATTAGTTATTTGAAGAGAAATATAAACATTTTAAAAATATTTAGATATGTACACATTTTTTATAGATATTTCAAGTTCAATTTTTTAAACAATTAGATATTTAAACAAAACAATAATAATTTTAGTTATTTCATTGCAGTTAAAATATTATTATTAGTAGGGATTAGGGATTTGAAACTTTTCACCAGTTAATAATTAGTGCATATGCATATTATTTTTGCTAACAGTATCATAGACGGTGATTGGCGGTATCAGCCCCCCCCCAAAAAAAAAAAAAATTATCGAAATCCCCTAAAATTATTGAACATTTTTCAGAGTATTAAATAGGTAGGTACATATTTTGTAACAATGCAAAGAAAAATTTAATTCCTCTCTAAAATTCAACAGTAACAGTATACAACATAACAAATATTTATAATAAGCTATTTATGTATACTTAATTCCATTTTATTTTTAAGATGATATCAAATATAAAAACATGAAATTATATTTTAATAATTATCTATATTAATAGATTGAAGCTAATTTTTTTAAATTTTGCATTTTATAGTAGGCTCACATAGGGATTTGTTGGTATTTGAAAAACGAATATTTATTTGTCTGTATAAGGATGCAGATAATAAAATAGTTATTATAGTTAGATATAATTTTATGTCTGTTTTTTATATTTGGTCAAAACCACTCAAATTAGTATGTTAAAATGTGTAGTTTATATTTAGCGGAATTAAAGACAGAATAAATCCACAAGCATTATTAAATTTGTCACGAACAACGCAGGATCAGCTTATATAAAACCTATATAAATATATTTACTATATAAAATTAAAGACTTAAAACAGATGACCTTGATGCAAATTCACAGTTTTTGTTAGATTTTTATGACATTGTCGGAAATAGATTTAGCAAGATCCATTATATCACAGGCTAACTTCTTTTAACTTACTTTTTACTTTTCAGTACCTACATAAATGTTGAGTTTACTTGACTCACAAAAATCTATCCTTTTATTATTTATATAGGTATATTGTTGCATTAATTACAGAAAACAAAAAAGTAATTACGACTGGAGAACTGAAGGTTAGGTTAGGTTATAGGTAAAATTTGAAAAACTTTTTAATACCAATAAATAAGTAGGTACAATGGTGTACATTTCATTTTTTATAAAGAAAAGAGGCGATTAAATTATAAATTAAAATAATATTTTGATGCCGGTATACCTCTACAAAGATAGAGATATATATCTACAAGCATGCACTCAAAAGCTATAATATAAAGACAATTGACGAATGACAAACAATATTTATTATTAATATCTACTCAAAAACAGTTTTTGTTATTCCACCATAATTGAAAAATATTATAAATTACCTTGACATTTTCATAACGTGTATATATTTTTATTTTAACCATAAAAAAAAAGAAAATCATTAAACTTTTTTTTTTCAGATAGGTATTAAGTTTTTGAATTTTTCTTTATAAATTGTAATCAAGTCTGACCATTTAATTTGTCCCCATATTCTGTCTTGATGAAAATTAAACCTTAATATGTTGAGAAAATTATTTCAAATTTCTTTATACTTTTATAGGTACTTATATGGTATATTATATATTTAAATATAAGTCCGGATTGGTTGGATTAATGATCCGTTGGTATAAAGACATGAAGTATTGGTGAACTACTTTTAATTTTCAAATGTATTTATTTTATTAAAACATTGAATGGTTATAAATTATAATGATTTATAAATAAATACCTAAGTATGATTACTACGAGGAGGATTTATATTATTTTGTTTTAATTTATCAAGTCATCAATTAAATACTTATTATACCCATTTATTAAATAGAAAATATTTACAAAAAAGGGCATCTATTTTAGGTTATTAACTTCTGAGAGCTATTATGATCAATTACAAAATCATCAACATTTTTTTCTCAAGATCTAATTCCTAAGCAAACGATACAATTCTGAAAGTTATATACGTATGTCATAAATAGTGTTAAACAATTTAATTAATTTAAAGTAAGATGTTACAAGGATAAGGTTCCTATGCGGATCAAATATATCAAGGGACATTAACTTAATTAGTTTCAAGGGCTTCACGATATTAATGTATGTATCAATCTATATTATATACAATAAAAAGTTTTAAAAAAATTAGCAACAGGGTTCTAAAATTCTGTATATCTACCTGAATATAGTTTCTATCATTGATTTGATAATATATTTTATTGCATAAAATATTACAGTTTAATATAAAATCAATGTTACTTTATATCGGTATGCCACAGATCAGTAGGGTTCAGAGAAGCACTCATTCTTAAGTGGGTTTTCGTTTGCAGCCGCAGATATAAAATTATATTTTATATTTTTATATAAAGTAAATACTAAAACTCAATGGAAGGTTTAACTTGGACTTTTTAAATCTATATATTATACAGACTCGTGGCGGTTATTTTAATGGTTATTATATAGATATACTTATATGAAATAACTGGCAAGAGTTCAAAATAAAGATAAAAGTAAAACCTTGAAATTGAATAAGCAAAAAATATTTAAATTATGCTATATTAATATTATTTATAGAAGTTAACAATGAAAATTTATTTGAAAAATGTAAATCAAGAAAAAAAACCGGTGGCAGTTACATCGTAAGATTAAGGATAAATAATAAATGTGAAGGTACCTATTATATGTTACGTTCATGGACAAATAATTAGAAAAAAAAAACCTTTTAAATTTTGTCAATTCGTTAAAGCTGTTAAAAATAAAAATAAATACCTTCACGTATACATTAATATTATGAATATGTAGTATGACACATATGTAATTTATCATATTACTTACTAATATAGAAATTATTTTAACACGTAGTTTTGATGAACAAAGCGACCACAATCTATAAAACCTTTCATGTAATACATTTTATATATTATTTTAAAATCGTTGTACCAACTTATTGCGTACCAAACGATAATTTTACGTTGGTTTTTTGTATTCAGTTAAAACGACCAAGCTAATGAATAAAGTTGGAATTTCGCAGAAAACTACTCGAACAGGAAAAAAAATCTGGTGACTTTCGTGTTTTCCATACGCTGGTTAACGGAAAATATTATGATTACGGTTACTCGTTCGTTGGTATACCAGATACGATGTAGACAGTCTTCGCAAACTAATACTTCGAGCCGGGTATACGTCAATCAAGCTACGTCATCTGTCTCTTCTTGTCCAAAAGTTGAGTTATGCCCAACTCACGGTGGATCGCATCACAGTTAGCAAACGATTCCACGACTACAACGGCCAATCAGAATACGATACGAGTGACATCATACAACAGACGGCATAGCTCTGCTGTAGCCTGTGAGCCCGGGTTCAGTCAACTCTTCAAACTTTATACCACGGTTGGAACGGCGACAGACTACAGCTGTCATGGCGTCCGTCGTCCGTAAAGCCGAATTCACAGCTATGTCGTCCGTCGCGTCGTGTGACTTTTACCGTATCAAAATTAGCCACGGTAATCGTGATAGATCGTTTACTAACAATGATCTACCAAAAAACTTCCAGAGTTGGGTTGAGTTCAACTTTTGAATACGATACGACAGACGACATAATAGCTATGAACCCGACGGTCTTAAAGTAGGAAAACGGTAGCTGCTGACCAAATTGGTCGCGCCGTCCGATTCTCGATCAAATAGTTTTGCGTCGGCATTCTTGAGTGCATAAAGT